GTCAATTTCCGAAGCAAACTAGATATATAGGCTTCTCATGACCTACAAAAAACACAATCCAACCAGCTATTTTTTGCCGCCCTATTGTATTAACGTTCGTATTTATCCTTACTGCCTCTTTCATTTCCAAGACTTAAATAGCTCTCCTTCATTATAACACTTTCAAAAAAACATTCGTAATTCCCATAAAGAATTAATACGAACAAAATAATAAAATCTCATAATCCAACAATTATATCTCTACGTAGGAAATATATATCTTAGCTGTATTTAATAGTTATAGACATTTCACAAGTTTACTGTGTTATCTGTTTCTGTCAGCTGTGGTTCCTAATATAAGTTTAAAGATTAACAAATACACCATTGTTAATTAGTACTCTCAATTTGAAAGTTGTTTTGAGAGTACTCTCTTTATTCCAAAATATAAATTGTTTTGAAAATTTTATTATGTTTTAAAATATAAGTTGTTTTGATAATTTTAAATACTTTTAACTTTATTAATTATTGTGTGATCAATAGTATTTTGCAGTCGTTTTTTATTGGTTAAATTATTTTTATTATATATATAAAATGATACATTTTATAAAAAAAAAATAGTTTTTTAATATTTGCATTTTTAGCCAAAATAACTTACCTTGAGAATACTAATTAACAATGGTGTATTTGTTAATCTTTAAAGTTTAAATGAATGATTGATTTTGCATAAAAAAAACCAGAATAGATCCAAATTGTTTTTTTTTTCTAATTTGTCTTCTCATACAAAGTAACCTCTTTTTTACCATTTCCAGCCGCTTCATACCATGTTTTCAGAGTCACCAGCACAAAAAACGACACGCATGTCACACACGCTCTTTCTCTTTCCATTTGACTCTGTTCCACTCCCTCACTAAATCGCTATATAAATTATAAGAGCCCCTCCCCATGAGTATCATGCATCAATCAAACCCCAAAACCCACATGCAAAAGCCCTAATTGTCTCACAAGCTTTTTAAAATGGAAAACGAAGGGAACGCAGGAACGGCAAGCAGTTCAAGGTGGAACCCAACGAAAGAACAGATATCACTTCTTGAGAATCTTTACACGCAAGGGATACGAACTCCGAGCGCCGATCAGATTCAGCAGATCACAGGTAGACTCCGTGCGTACGGCCATATTGAGGGTAAAAACGTCTTTTACTGGTTCCAGAACCACAAGGCTAGACAGCGCCAAAAGCAGAAACAGGAACGCATCGCTTACTTCAATCGTCTCCTCCACAAAACCTCCCGTTTCTTCCACCCTCCTCCTTGCTCAAACGGCACGTAGTTCTCCTCCCTATGTTTACTTGTTATTTTAAAAGTTTATAAGACCATATACTATCGAATTCTCGTAAAAAGTTTGATTAAATTGTGAACTATTCAATACATGTTTTCTTTTATAGATAGCCATATGTTTCACTAGAAAAGTTCAAAACTTACAGAAATTCCTCATTGAATACAAAATGATTATCATATTTCATGGAAATATTTTGAGATGTCTTTTTTTTTGTTGTTGTTGCTAACAATATTTTGAGATGTCGATTTGCTTATTATGATCTCAAGACTAGCATCTCTCTTCTATTTTTTGTGGGTTAAGTTTTTCTTTCCATAAAAAAGTTTGATCAAACAGTGAAATATTCAGCATATATGTGTTACAAAAACAAGTATGTGGATACGAAAGAATTATCATGGAAATATTTTAAGATGTCCATTTTCTTGTCTTTTATATTTTTTAAATTGTTATCAATATTAAATGAAAGTTTACTAAACTTAGGTTTTTTTTTGTTTTTTGGTATGAAGTGGGTTGTGTTAGTCCGTACTATTTACAGCAACAACATAATCAGCATGGAAGTGTATACACAAAAGATCTTCTTCACAGTAACAATGTGATGATTCCAAATGGTGGCTACGACAAACGGACAATCATTGATCATAGGAAACAACTCTCCGACATAACAACTGCTACAACTAGAATGTCAATGTCTTCGAGCTCACACAGATTTGACCGATTTGCCCTTTGTGATCACGGATATTACGGCGAGGGCATTAACGGCAATTCGCATGGACGGAAAACGCTTCCTCTTTTCCCACTTCAGCCTTTGGATGGGACTAAGGAAGATGGTGTGGGAAATTCCAGTTTTGCCCCTGGTCATGATTCTCCGGTGGTTTGTTTCGTTGACGACGGTGGACGAGAGCAGCCGTTTATCGATTTCTTTTCTGGTGGTTCGTCTAGTAGGTTTGATAATAGTGGAAATGCGTTGTAACGAAGGCCTTTAATGAAAAATAAAATG